AGGGCTCGAAGCCTCTTTGGACAGCGTTGGAGCACGTGTTAGAGCAGACTGGCCATGCAACCTGTGCACACTAGAGCGTGCATGAGCAAAGCTAAGCTACAGGACACCTGGGGAGGTGGCAGAGCACAGCCCAGCACCTCTCAGCTCATCTGTGTGCACACCCATGTTTCCCTGTGTACGTGCCCATGTACCAGCAGCCCCTGAGCCATGCAAAACACCCCAAGATTGACTTGTGGCAGATCCTCTCCTCTCCTCTCCTCTCCTCTCCTCTCCTCTCCTCTCCTCTCCTCTCCTCTCCCTTTGTCTCCCTGCCTTTTATTGAGTGCAGGTTTTGTGAGCGGCCGGTGACAGACGGCCCCGGTGCTCGATAACCAGACAATCTGTCACCACCACCACTGACAGCTTTCACAAGGAGCCCCTTTCCTTTCATCCTTCCCAGTTCCCTTCGCCTCCGCTTGTCCCCCTTCCACACGTGCTCTCTGGCTTTGTTCCCCCTAAAAGCCAAATAGCGACAGAAGCTCCTGATCATAATATTGCTCTAATCGAGTCTGTCATAATCGGATCCAATCTAATTACGTTCAGATCCCTCTCTTCTCCTGACTCTCTCTATTGCCTGTCCATCTGTCCCTCTCTTCCCTTCCAGTCTTTGTGTCCATCCATCTGTTATCTGCAGGCCTTTCTCCCTTCCCATCATCTCCCTGGGCCCCTGCCCCATTCGCAGTGGCCGCCCCGGCCCTTTCCTCCAGCGGCTCCCTCTCCAATCCATCTCTCTTAAAGGCCTCTCCATCAATCCATTTAGCAGCAGCTCCCTGCCTCCTCTCGCCCATCTGCTTCTCCCTTTCTGCTGGCTGCGAGATGCAGGGATGCTGTTTTGTTTGTATGTCGATCTTGATTAGCCCCAGAAACCTCTCTGCTGGAGCCGTGCTGGCGCTGGGGAGGGATCACCTGGGCAGCAGCGTGCTGGAGGTCCTAAGCAGCATCCTCCATCCCTGCAGGACCCTGCATTGCTGATGGGTGGGTTGTGCAGAAAGGATGGCCAAAGCACAGAGATGAAAGGACAAGGCCACAGGAGCACAGGGTAGGCAGAAAAGGAGCGAGTTGGAACCACTAAATGGGAGTTTTCCCAACACCTCCTCTCCAACTACATCCAGGGTCTTCCCATACCTTTCCCAGCAGCAGGTGCTGGTCTGTTGGAGACAAGAGCAGCGGCAGAGATGGACCCTGGGCGTGATCCAGCCTGGCAATTCCTATGATGTTATTTGTAGTATTCAGACCCTGATTTTAAAACACATGTTGGACTCAGATGCCCACTGGTTGCCGGCCAACAACCTCTGCTTTGCTGCAGTGGTTACCTTGAGCTGAGCCTTCTCTCCTTCATCTGGACTCACTGCTGCCCATTGGGTATGACACAAAGTTGTCAATGATCACAGCAGTGGGAGTGCTGGAGAATGACTGTAAGCACCGTTTGGGACACAGTCTATTTTACATTGAAAAATTATTTAAGAAGACACCAATTTTTTTTCTCCCTGTCTCCACTGCTTCCTTCTCACAGAAGCCAAACAGCCCTGGCTTTGTTCTGGGTATTAATTAACTTTCCTGCCTCTTAATATTCTGGAGCCATAAAGTTCCCATGAGCTGGGATGCTGGGCGCTAAGAAAACACACATTTCCTCTCCTTTCTCCTTGTCTCATTGACTGTCACCCCCATATGTCTCCCCCCTCCAGGCACAAGGGCAGCTGCAAACCCTCCTCTCTGGGCTCAGCCCCAGCCCTCTGCCTCCTGGGAGGCAGCTGAGTTCAGAGGTCAGGAGCGTCAGTGGCATCTTCTTTTTGTACAGAAATCCCTGGTAGAGCAGCAATGGGGAGAGAGCAGAGGAAATTGATGCTTGCAAAAGATGCGTGGCAGGGGAGTGTCTCCGTGAGATGCCTGGGGGCTCTGCTGGAGAGACAGCATGTGCCAGCTGCCCTTCTCAGCAAGGGGAGTCTGTGCTCCCAAAAAAAAGCTCGTCTAGGCTTTGATGTTGCTAGAAGTGGAATGGGGAAAATGTCTTTAGAGCAGTGCCTGGATTACCGACCTCCCTCAGAAGCAGGGCAGGGGTGGGAGGTGGATGAAGGGTCTGCAGGGAGCTCAGTAAGGACAGAGCTCACTGAGCTGGGCAAGGCAAAGAGATGAAGTAGATTTCGGAGGCAGAGACCCCTGGGTTCCTGGCTCAGCACATTGTAGCAAAATGACAGGCAGCAGGTAGTGAGTGAATCACTGCTCTCCAAGCACATCAGGAAAGCTGGTTCCAGCACTGGTCTTCTCCAGGGCTGTCCTGCCACCACCAGGATCACCCGAGCACCCAGGGAGATGGGAAAAGGTGCAGAACTGCAGCTTTTACCTCCAAGAACGAACAGCACAAGGTGCAGACAGGCAGCTGCCCCTGGGAACTGCTGCCCCAGCCCTCACTGGCGTCAGCAGCATGTTTATTTTGAAGAGCAGTCCAGCAAGACTTGCAAGAGGTTGCATCACTTCTTTTTCCCTTGGCAGGAGGCTGCAGAACTTGCTTCTCCCAGGCTCCATCCCTTGGGGGTGAAATTGCTCTTGACTGCACAGTTCTCCCTTTTCTCCTATTTCTTTGGTCAAACATGGAGCAGAAATGATCTCCTAGACCTTTCACCCCAGCAGAATAAGCAACCTGCTGAATTCAATGACTAAAAAACACCAAGGATGCTGAGTGCTTGGACAGCACTCAAAGCTGCCCAGCATCTGTGTGCATCAGGAAGAACAGGTTAGACCAAGAATGATGTAAAACAACTTCAAAATGTAGTAGTTCTGGAAGAAACTCAATACTCGTGCTTTGGAACAACAAGCCAAAGTCTGAGAGGCAGAAGAGAACGTTTTTTTCCCAGTACCTGAACTTGATTGTAATGCAGCAACTGCATTGGAGGGAGCTTTTGTGCCCTCCAATGACAATGCTGGAGGGGTGGTAACCTCTGTCATTGCACAAAGCTTGCTAGAGGTTTCTCAAAGCCAGAAAATAGGGAGTGTTCCTATGAATTGTTTCCCCACTGACCTCCGTCCTCCTGGACTACCTGTGGCACACGTGGTGCTTGCTGCAAACCTTCCTTGCACCAAGAGGGTGCGCTGCTTTGAGTGGCAGCTTCAAAAGAAGAGCAGACATGAGCAGCAAAGTTGTTTGCTTTCCATATGCTACGCATAATTCCCCATGCAAACTTATCTAATTATTACAGAAAACAGGCTTTGAACATGGGAATTATCTTGCTTGCATCAGCTACCTCAAGGAAGGCCGTACCACCAGCTTTGCACTGTCACCCAGAGCAGCAGCAGCATGAATGGGAGCAGAGATGAGGTCCCTGACTTCAGCTTTACCTTACTTTGCCATCCAGATGCATGCAATTGCATCTCAAAAACTCGGTAATTTTCTTCCTTCTGCAAAGATAAAAATAAATCTACGTTTATACCAACACTCAAATGACTTTCCACATTTACGTACTAAGAAAGCCCTTATTCCCCATTGCTTATTAGCATTAGGGATGCTCTAATTAATGCACATAATCTCAGGAGTGATGGAGAAAAGTGTATCAGGGGAGTTATCAACTTTAAGGTTGGCGCAGCTGAGGACAGCTGCTGCTTGCTGTATGAGGATGGGAGGAGGAATGGGGACGTGCTCAGCTCCAAACCAAAGCAGCTACTGCATGTTGTGAGGGAAGATAAACAGGGAGTCAAGCTTGTTTCATTTTCAAACTAGGGACATGCACCTATTGCAGATAACTGTACTCGGAGTGAAGGCATGGGGAAGATGGCTTAAGAGTGAGCATTTGCAGGGATAAAGCACGAACTCTGGGCTTAAACCAGCCAACAGCAGCTCCCCAAGGGACAGCAATTTACTTGCCATACACAAAAGCAGCAAAGGCTTTCCCAGTCCCAGCGGAGGGCAATGAGCACTCCCAAATCCACTGTCAGCTCTTTGTTTGGAGATCAGCGGTGAGACTGAGCAACTGAATATTGGTCATACTGATTCCAGCTCCTCCTGGCACGCCTCATTTACAATCTGGAGAAAGATGCAGGTGTGTTTCCATATGAAATGGGATTTCATTCCCCATGACATGAAAAGCAGCTCCTCTTTCACCAACGCTGTCTCTACTCCAACAGAACACCTCTTTATTTTAAGTACTGTTCAGCTCATGGTCTCGAGAGCATCCCTCACCACTGGGAAGCAGGGCAGAGTTGGGCTCGTGCCACAGATGGGAATGGGCACTCACAGGGGAAGGGCAGGGCACAGAAACCCAGGCAGAGACTCACTCCTGTGGCTCATTTACTTCCCAACGAATCCAGCAATCCCCTTTCTTCCCCACCCCCTTTCATCCTTCAGGCCCAATTCCCAGAGGAAGGGAGGCTCAGATCTGAGCAGTACAGCCCGATCATCAAAAGCCAGCTGAGCAAAACTAATTTACTGACCATGGCAAAACACAATGAGGAGGGCTGGAAGCACACTGATGGCTACTGCCTTTCCTTTCACCCCTCTGCTCAGCGACACTGCTGGCACCATAAGTTTGAAGGACACACAAATCTATGATGCGGGGTAAATTTTGGGCTGACAGTCGAGCGAAGTCTTTTGGTGTTCTCCAGCATTGGCAGCACTATGGAAAATGTGTCTCTGCCACAGCAGCTGCCAGCTTAGCCCCTTGCTTCTCCCGTCCCCTTGTCAGCCACTGATAGGAGGGCTGCTCATTGCACTGTCCACAGGGAGACCTGTTGGCCATCTGAGGAGTGGCATAGGCACAGACAACGGAGGCAGCTGTTTGTTTGCCTCGCCAGAGAGCAGCTTGGAACAAAAAGCTGGGAGTGGAAAATGGGGCTGGGAGTGGTGAAAGGGTTTATTTCTGTTTGTGTGGGGAAAACGAGCAAGGAGAGGGAAAAAAAAAACAAAAAAACAACCAGAAGCCTTAATGAAAATAAAAGCCCAGACCCAAGCATTGAATCTAGATTTGAAATTAATTTGCTATGTAAAGAAAATATAACCAACTTACCTTATGAGGGTACAAAACTCTTGTCACATCACAGGCTGTTTTGAAGTCTATCTCACCCGAAGCACGTTCAGCACATAAATAGTCAATAATTTGGAGGAAACTGATTCATTCTGTCCAAAGATTAGGAGTTAGAGGCTATGAAAACCCTTACTATAAAGAAAAGATATCTCCATTTAAACTGAGATTTCAGTTTCTTCGGTGCTGCTAGAAGAGATGAAAATAAATCAGGCACTGAAACATTATGCCAAGTATCAGGAACAGTTTTCCTGATAGCAAGATGCATTAGCAACTGGAAAAAGTCTCCCTCAGGGAAGCACTGAAAGCACAAGGTCTGAATTACTTTAAAACTCCAGAGTTTATGTCTGGTTGAGAAAAGACTTAAACACAATAAGCCTGCATAGCCCTCTAGGGAAGCAAAAAATGATGCTGGCTTTAGTGCTAGTCAGCTCTGATTTCTGTGATTAATCCTCCCTACCTGTTTTTGAGATCCTCACTTTGGACAACAGCACTATCACACCTTTGAATCAATACTGTTGAAGAACAGGTGAATTTTCACATAAAAGGAACAAGGAGGAATGGCTGAGTGCCTGGTCAGACATCACTGCTGGCCCTCAGAGCCCAGTCCTGCTGCGAGCACGCTCTTTATTAAACATGTTTAATATATCAGTGCCTAAAATGAACTGAGATGGAGGCATCACCACAGACAGCACTATAAGAAAAGAGCAACCATCCCTGCCTTGGAGAGCTATCAGTCTAAGCTGAAACAAATGCTGTTCCTCCCAAGACCAAAACACATTGCAGCACTCACTGATTTTGGTCCTTTGGGCAGCAACTAAAGATAATGCAGGCAATGGGTTAATCTGTAAGCAGAGATTTCTTTTTTAATTAAACAGAACTATTTATATATGTACAAAAACCCAGAAAATATTGCACCATTTAAAAAAAAGGATATTTTACAACTAATCATGTGTTAAACACGCTTGTCCTCCCTGCATTGTAGTATATACACAGATTCACAGCAACTGTTGGACGTTAACAGGCAACCCGTGCTATTGGACACCATGGAAATGCACTGGTCCACACATACCCCAGAGAAAACACCCCTCCCACCCTCACCATCATGTAGGGAACACGTCCATTGCTTTGTCACCTTGGTGGCATTCAGGAACAATCCTCTCACGTTTCTCAGAATAAGGACAAATTAAAAACAGAAGGCTTTGGGAACTTCTCAGTCACAATTTCTTTCGGGCTTGATCGGCACAGTCTCTTACGTTTCAGGGCTCAGTCCCCAGAACTCGAGCATGGAGGCTCTGGAGAGAACCATTTCCGTCCCTATCCAGAGAGAGGGGCATTCCAGTGTAGTTTTATCTTTGATATTTGCAATCCAAGGACTAAGACTTCTCGTGCCTTGAGAGCATCTTCAGTAAGCCACAGCCCCAGGGTCCCGAGGGATGCTAAAAAGTACATCTGCTTTGGCGTTGATAAAATGTGTGGCGACAAGAGAGAAGACCAGAATGGCAATGCCCACAACCAAAGTGATTATCTAGGAAGGGATGAGAAATACTTAGCATTGTTGCCAACAAAGATAGACCAAAATCTCATAGAAATTTTATTGAATGGGGGGTCACTGTTAGAAACAGAGACGACTCACTACTAAGGCACCACGCAAAGTGCAAACTCACCTCTAGCTCCTTGCTGGCTACTAGAAATATTCTGGCACGGATCTCCTTCCATCGACTCTCTGTCCATGTGGAATACTCTGTAGATCCCCATTCCCTCAGCTCAAAGGCAGGAGAGAGTGCTTTGCTCAGGCGAACAGTTGACCGAACGCAGTAGGGGACTCGTGATGTTGAGTTAGGGTCCAGGGAACCCTGCACCCAGGCATAGTCATACATCTGCAACAAAAAAAAAGACATTAAGAGACAGTGAGACACTAGCAAATAACCAGACTGTCTTCTGGTAAGAGAGAGAAGGGTTTTTCTAACTGTTCTCATTGTCAGGGGATCCTTTTATTTACTCCTCCTCTGCCCTTCAGTGTCAGAATGTTTCCTTGTTGGAGGATTCGATCCAGTTCTCCCATGTGTGATTACAGGCAGTACAAAGCAATCCTAACTAGCTTCCCTCAAAAGCAGAAAACCAGAAAATGGAACAGCAGATCTGTCCTTGCCACTCCAATGGCACTTACTTCTTTCTCAGCATTAGGTGTTTTTTCAGGGTTCAAGCACTCTTCCTTGGTGAGGTTAACAACAGTGCCTGTGAGGTTGGCCAGGACGTACTGCACAAGGTAGGTGGTGTTCACAGGGCTGGAAACAGCAACGTAGTGCTGGGGAACATCATCACCTGGAACAGTCAGAGAATTGAAATTAATGGGGAAAATGCCAGAAGCAGTGATACTGTGGAGCTTCACAAAGTTGCCAGGTAACATATGGGGTCAAACACATCCCTGTGTTCTTCCCTATGTTGCTTACCCAGAATCCCTTTCAGGTCTGGTTTAATGATGGACTGAAACCAGGAATTGTTCATTTTAATCAGAAACCCATAGAGCATTTGAGTGATCTGGAAAGAGATGTAAATTGGTTTATACAAAGAGGAAAGAACACAGCATCTTAATGGCTACATCTCTCAAGATTATTTGGCACAGAATGCACTTTTCACTACAGAGACCAAGAGCATAGCAAAGCAGAGACTATATGTCACAACTGTACATTATGTGAAAACAAGAGTTTCATTCCAGATCCACTGATTCTTTACTTGATCCCTGTGGCACACTCTGCCATCTCACCTCAGTTTCCACTTCTTTGCCCTGAGATGGAGAGGCAAGGAACTAGAGTGAAAGTTTTTTCATTCAGCTGTGATGGAGAAAGGGGGGAGAGGCAAAGCCCTCATGGAGACAGACAGGACAGCATGCTGTGTAAACACACATAAACAGAGACAGAAGGGAAGTACGTGAGGGCTCATCGTAGATGCCAGGGACTCAATTCCATCTGCTCGTACCGTTTTTGGATCTGCCTGAATAGCAGAGGTGTCGTTGGCTCCCCCTGCAAGCCGGTATAGAGCACGGGCGACCACTGTGGCAACTTCTGCCAGAGACTGCAAAGGAAGAGTACTCTGTGTTAATCAAGATAGACAGACCCAGCAAAACAATTAAGAGCAAGCCAGAACCTACACATCCATCAGCATGCTTATGTCGCACCAGCATTTGAGTGCCTTTGTAAACATACAAAGCATTCCCACCTTCTTTCTGCCTTTTTTGGAAGCAGCTTTCCCCCTCTCTCCGTGAGCCCACCTGCATTCTGCCCCTACTGAAAGCCTCGTCCATCCCAGACAGAGCAGCTAAAGAAAATATAAAGTTGGAACCTTGGCTGTGTCTGTAACATACTCCAGGGTCTCCTCGGGGCTAAGCCCCTCAGGGTATTGCATCCTGATGTTCTCTGGAGTGTCATACATGCTCTGGTAGTATCTGAAAAGAAGAAAGCAAACAGAGGTTGGGGAGGAGCAGAAAGAAACCACGGGGCATGGAATTCAATTCAGAGTATGCTTAAAGCAAACAGTGGGAGCAGTCTCCTGGGAGCAGAGAGACAGCTCTGCCAAAGCACTGCCCTGCCACACGCTCCTTAAACCATTTAATGAGGCTTTATAATTAACTTGGCCCTTCCACAGCTTCTCCCATCTGAGGATCTCCAAGCAATTTACAAGCTGTGATTAGCTTTCAGGTGGGCGACAGCCCCATCTATTAAACGGATAGAGAAACTGAGGCAAGGACAACTCATGCAGAAGGTCTCATGGGAAGAGAGCTTTCAATGCAAGCCATGCTAGCGGATTTTATTAATGCCTTATTTTGAAGGCAGTGAGGAATTCCAAGTGAACTTTAGGAGAGATTTATACCAAAGTGTCTGCAACACGCACAGCTGAACTGGGAATTGCATGGTCTATACACCTGACATTCCCAGACAACCTGGGATTGCTCTCCCCAGACTAGAGATGGTCACAGACCAGGAAAGCATGCTGTCCTTCACCTCAGCTCCTCCTGCACCTTCAAAGCAGTGCACGTTTAGAGCTAAAAGGGAAGAAAGGGAAGCTACTTCCTTTTGATCATGCCAGAGATTCTCAGTAACAGAGAAGGGTAGAAAATGAAGGCAAAGAAACAATTTGAAGAGTTTGGATGAAGGGGAAAAGGCAAGAAGAGAAAAAGCAAAAAGGGGATGTCTGTCCTCTACCCCTCATCCCCATTTCCAAAGTTGAAGAGAAGCAGATCCCCAAAGAACACCCAGTATTAGGGTCATGTGAGGTGAATGAAAGTGCCCTTTCTAATGCCTGGGGCTCTCTGCCATCACAAATAGAAAACTATATGGAAAAAAAAAAAAAAAAGAAAAAGAAGCATCTAGCTTCTGGAAGAACAGATGAGGCTTAGGCACGCTCAGTTGCCATTTGCTCACCTCTGGCTCCCAGCCAGCTGTGGGGAACATTTTCTGTACAAAACTGGATTTCTTTCGGTTGTCAGAATAATTATGTTGCGCTTGTTCAATTACATGGCACACGTTTGCTCCTCCACTCCCCCCGGCCTGCCGTTCCACATGTGCTGGGCAGCACAGCCCTGGCAGAGGCCTTGCAGGAGCTGGGGCTGCCCTCTGCCGGCCCCACTGCCTCCGGCCATGGGGCAGCCCAGAGTAATACCTGTTCTGGAAGGAAGCCTGGTGGTCGGTCAGGACCACCCCAGGAATGTGCCGGGCTCGAAGGAAGCGTTGGAATGAAGATGGGGGAAGAGACTGTGAAAATCCAACTTCCTGTAAAGTTACGTTTGCTCCTACGCTGCTATTACTCAGAATATCGAGCAGGTTTTTAATCTGAAAAAGAAAAAACAGCACTGTTCCAATCTTTTTGTTTTGAATGAGCAGTTTTTTCTGGGAAGTTTAACATCCTGAACATTTGTAAAATGCTAAGGATCCCTCAGAATTTCGGTTAGGTGAACAACTACAAACTGCTTTCACTCACCTGGGGCTCAACAGTGGCATTCAACCGAGAGACAGGGTCTGTGTGCATCCACAAAATGGAGCCATTCCTTAAAGCCACCTGCAAGAAAAGAAACAAGTAACAAAACACCTTCAACACATACGAGGACATGACTAAATCCAGTAGAGTCAGGAAATCCAGACCAGAAAAAAGAACAACAAAAGCAGTGAAAAACGATGGTTGAGAAAACCACACCTAAACTATTACAGAGAAATAAAGAATCAAAATATCCCCCAGTTCATCTCTCACCTGATTCAACTCCACAAAAGAATGGATGTTCTCCAAACGAAGAGGAAATTTGTCTTTTTCCATATCATACACCATTCGTGAACTGCCAATATAATCAAAAGTCTCCTGCAACAAGGTAATAAAAAGAAATAAGAAAAAATCCACACATGGCTCACATACAGAACACTGCTCGGCACAATTAACAGCACCGTTTGAGAAGCTGAGGTGGAACAAAGCCAAAAGTTTGAGGGCTAACTGCTGCACTGAATATTTCTGAAGGTTTGCATAGCCTGGCTATGCACCAGAATACCAAAGGAAATATTACGTTGTAGGCTGAGATGCAAAGGACAAAAATGAAGGTAAACAGCAAAAAACCAGGAGACAGCTATTGCACAAGCAAGAAAGGCACAGAGAGAAAGTCAGACTTCTGTGAGTACTGATAACTCACAACGGTACTGCAGTGAGTAACAGCAGAGAGGCATTACTACGCCCTCTACTTTGGTGTACAACCCCTGTTTCTGGGAGAGTAGAATGTGAAGTCAGAGAAAAGGGCAAATCCTCCATTCCAGGACTTAAACATATGAAGCTCTCCTGGAAGGAGGGCTATCTGTTTCCCTAGAAAAAGCAGGCAAGATGATATCAACAGCTTCGTCAAGGAAACTGCAAGAAGCTGAGCATTGTCTAGAATGAATCAGTGCCCCAAAGAAGAGAATCCCCATGACAGAAAAGGACAGCGAAGTCAGCCAGCCACCAGACTTTCCTCTTGACTATTATACAGCCAAGTCTTATCACTCCACTTACATTCTGAGAGCACGACAGAGAGTGTTTGCTCTACAGTGCTGTATGCTCTTCTCCCTGAGGGAAATTCTGACTAGGGATGTATGTGCTGGGGAGGGTGAATGAAGGGAATCACATGGCCACAGCATGGGGCTGTGGCAGCCAGTTTCACAGAGCTGCACAAAAGAAGCCATCAATGTAGATGCCTTCAGGGGAACATCAGCTGTTGGCCGTCAGTCCCTCCTCCACAAGCTTGTTCTGTTTTTTTCACAGCTGCCAACTCCAGTGCTGGGCTCTCAGAAATGAACTACATTTTGACGCTGTCAACACATATATTTTTAATCTAGTTTTTTTTTCTGGGCTTCATTTCAGAATTTAAAGCCTAGCCATTGCTGTTCATTCTGAATGGGAGTGGGACAAAAAACAGACATACAGAGAAGCACAGTGGGAAGAGACAGGAGGAAAAGTAAAGTTTGACTTATTCATCCAGAATGAACTGTGGGGCAGAATATGCACTGCCCCATTGGAAGCTCCATCTGCTGTTGTCATCCCAGTGAAAATAAGATCCTGTTCTCACTAGGGGAGTGGAGAGAACCACAGTGTGGGGATGCAGATAAATGACTTTGCACAAAGAGTAGGAAAGAGTTCATTTGCAAGGAGCCAAAGGCTGATTTGCTATTCTGAAACAAGCCAAATGGTGGAGCGAGGCTGCTGCTCTTACCCCTTGGAAGAAGGTGAACATTATATTCCTTTGCAGCAAATGAACATCTGATGCCTTATGAAGGGCTTCAGCAGCAGCCAAGTGGGTCACAAAAGAGGAGACAGCACTCTCTGCCCCAGGTGCAATGTTCCAGAAGAAGGAATGGCTGTCAATCTGTAAGCATGAACAGCAGGCATAAGAAATGTGCAGAGGGATACTGTACTGGGAAAGCAAATCTGCCACTTCTTTTTAATCCCACTCATCCCACTGTCAAGGGAAAAAATCAAATTATACTGCCCAATGAAACTTCAAATACCAATTGCAATAGCCAATCCAATCCAAACGAAGGGCAGGAGCACAGGAAGAAATGGAAATAAGTAAGACCCTACATTCACATCTTCCCATAATCCTTCCAGTCCACCCTCTGCAAAGCAAGATTAAGAGATACTTACTCGTGTAGCAACCATAATAAACTCCTTCTTAGGATCCACTTTTTCAGATGAATTAATAGGGTGCAAGGTGCTCCACACATTGTAATCAAGCAGAGGATCACATACAGTCTCTAAAAAGCAGAAACAACATCGCTTGAAACTTGAGATTATAGTAGAGAGAACTGAAAAACAATCTTGCTTGTCAGCTGTAGCTCACCAGTTTCATCATGACAAGGAGAGAAATCTGCTCACCTGGATTAATGCTGAAGGTGTTTTGGATGGAGTTGCGTCTCATGCAGGTAACAGTGCTGGTGACAGCATGCATGTGGGAAAAAAGCTGCATGGCACACAGAGGGTACTCAGGGCCAGATCCATCAGTAGGGACGTTATGGTCTTGGTAACACTGGACAGAAATAAATATCATCATGAAACTTAGCTTGTCTGAAATAGTATTATGTACTGCCTATGAAATTGGATCATGTATTTTTACTGTAGATATCAATATCTGTGTTGAGTTAGTTCAACTTCTGGCCCCTTTCCTGAACTGTGTGGCAGCTCCCCTCTCTCACAGTCTGGGAAAGTTAAGTACCTGTTTAATAACTTGAGTCTCATTGGCATCTTCAAGTAGAAAAATGGGGAAGTCAAAATCCTCATACGAAAGCCCACTCCCCACTGGATTCCACACAGTCCTATTGCAGTGTGCATACTGAGGGCCATAGTCTTTGGAATAGACACCTAGAAACAGAAAGAAACAGGCAAATCTGAGCCTGCAGAGAGAATAACAAACTACAGCAAAGGTAGGGCTTGCTGAGAAAATGGCAGCAAGTACAGAACGAGCACCATTATGGGCTAGGGAACCAGCTGACAAAGCTTAGACATGGAGCTGGTCACTGCGTGAGGCAGAGTGGCAGAGTCTGAGAGCTGTGCCATGCATGGAGAATACAAAACATGCATGCTTAAAGCCATCCCATGCCAGGAGGCTGGCAGGAGAACTCAGTGAGCATTTATCACATGCTGAGAGAGCAGTGGAGGCACACAGAGAAACATTATACTCTAAAAGGAGGAACATACTAAACAGCATTTTCTGAGCTCATCATGTGCTGGAAATACCCCTAAGGCATCTGTAATGTGCCAATTGTTTTAACACCTAGGTATTGAGCAAGCAGCATGAAGGCAAAGAGGCAACAAATGCCAGTACAAACTCATCTCAGAGTTTGCACATCATCCTTCACAGCTGAGGAGGAGAAAGTTTAGTGCAAACTACAGAATGGCAATTTCTCTCCACGCAGTGTATGACAGTAAATTAGCTGCAAGAAAAAAAAAATAGTAAAGTGAAAACCTAACTGAAATCACATGGGGAACTCAGGTAGGAATCAAAAACAGTACCAAATGGCTCAGGGAGTTTAACACGTTTCATCCACTTTATGGAAAATCAAGCTTTAATGACGAGGTGTGGAAAAAGTATGTGTTTCAAAAGTGAAAGAAAAAGAAATTAGCAAACCTTGGTCAGACTGAATAGTGATATCATGCTGGTTTATCCAGCTTGTCAGTCTTCCCCCAGACATCAGTCCAGGCCTCACTAGGAACTGATGAGATTCCAGCTCAGGCAGTTATTTCAAAAGGGCATATCAAGTAGGTTATCTTAGATAAATTTTGACATGTAAGTGAAGTTGCAATTTCACGCATCCTCTGCACTTCTTGCTTTGACCTTACAATGTAATGGAACTGCTTCTCCCAGCAATAAGAAAGACTTAACATTTCCTTACCAAACCCATCATTGGGGCACTTCAAACCAGGAGAAAATCCCTGGGGAGGGTTAGGTTTGGCAATAGACACTGCAAGGCCTGACACTCGTGAGGTTCCCTTCAGCTGCTGCATTACCTTCCTGGAACAGAGAAAACATAGGTGAAATTTTGAATTCATTAATGAAAAGTTACAATCCAAGACACACCATTGCTGATGGTGAAGACACACTACGTTCAAGCACATGATGATGTTTTTGATCAAAATAACCATCATGTTCCTTTCTCCTCACCATTTGAAAACTGTATTAAGATGGCAACAACCAGAAAACTTCAACCACTTTCCTGCTCTGCCTAGGAGATGTAACAAACACTAATAATGTTGTTTAATGAGCTTTAGGAAAAGCTACAGCGATGAACTTGGCATTAGAAATTACACAGAACAGAGCTCTTCTGACAACCAAACCATACATTTAAGAAGATGCAAACCTGTGCAGTAAAACACAGTAAAAACAAGCGTGCCACCCTCACTGTACTTCAGTACAGTCAAAGATGATTTTGCCATCTCTCACTTGAAAAATGACATTTTTTATAATAAAATTATGGGTCCACATTGGTCTTCTGGGCTTCTGTGACCTAGGGAAGATAAAAACTATGACAACTGACCTGTTGAAGAGGTTTCCATCTAGTAATATCATGTAGGGTGGGTGTGGGCCATCAGCAAGCACCCAGTTTAGGTCCTCCTCCTTCTCAACTACATGTATCACCCCTGTGTCTCCACTGATGGAGGCTGTGGAAAGAGAAAATACCCTTCATGTTTCACTGTGTTCTACTTCCTTCGCACCCTCGGCAACCCCAAAATAGGGCAGCATGAATCAAAGATCTTTGAGAAAGAACAGCTGATATGAGATGAGAGATGGAGGAAGCAATTTGGTGAAGTGGCACTGTTTCACTGACACAGAAGAAGGAACAGCAGTTCTCAGGAAAAAGCAATGAACAGTGCAGGATAAAAAGTTATGGAAACAAGCTCTGAGCTTTAAAAGCCTGCTTTGTTTGAGCACTGACTTTAGCTGGAGGCAGTAAGACATAATACAGCAGAAAACTGAGACCTCAAGACAGAAAAGCACGAGGAAGAAAAACACGAGGGGAAGACAGGACCTGCCTGCCTCAAGGACATAGTCACAGCAGCTGACCATCATGGCAGGCTAAAGATTGCAAATTCAGAAACTGGGAGCTCAAAGAGAGCTCAGCAGGGAGAAATAAGAGCAAAAGATCATGGCCACAAAGGGGATGAGCAACTGAGTAGGTCTCCCTGCTTGTCATTTCATGCCATACCAAAGAAAGCAGAGGGTAGACAAAACACTTTTATAGGAGTCCACTAATACAAACAAGCCCCACAATTATTAATGGCCATCATTGGACACTGCTCATGACTGGGAAGGCAGAACCCCATGCCCATATCTGCACTAACGCCAGGCTCACGTCAGAGGGCAGAAGTCAGGGAACAATGCACCTTGGGCTACCTGTCAGACTAAGCTGTGCTGCCCTACAGTGGCAGCTGACAACCTCTGCTGCAGGGAGTGACTCAATCAGGAAGCAAAATTCAATTACAAATTAGCAAAACGATGACTCATAGGAACCCCTTTCTACACATAGTAACTTCAGAAAAGAGTATGTGAATTGGGCTACCTTGTTTTAATTCTCATTTCTACCAGTTAAGCAGTCCTGTTCCTACACCTTAATATGACAAAAAACATACAAAGTTAGCAAGCAGTGCACAAGCAGCTAAGCCAAACCCTCCAGTCCCTTCAGATGTCACTTTCTTAATTCTTAACACTCTGTCCCCTTCCTCTCCTAAGTTGTGAACACCTAACACTTTCTGCATTAGGCTCACAACTTCACCTTGTACCCCAGGATGCTGGTGGGGCACAGACAGCAGAATCTGCAGCCACAATGCTGTGCTGTACCTTAGCTTTATCCTGAGCAAACACTGTCTGTGTGCACTGAAAATGCTGCTCTGTGCCAGCCAAGGCATGGATTTTCAAGGACACAGACTCTCCTAAGGCCTAATCCTCAATTTAGAAGAAACACATCAGTATGACTGAAATGGGATTGGAAAAGTCAGCAAACGGTGATGAGAACACAGGCAATGCTGATTCACACAGGACAGCAGCATTATTATCCCATCTGTCTGGAGATGGCCACCCCCAGGAGCATCTCCAACTGTACTCACACTGGCAGCCGACCTGGTGTGTAGCATTCAGAAGACGAACACACGGCGCCGTTTTGTTCAGGGGGATGTAGATCTTCCTCTCAACCGAATTCCCCTCACAGGAGCCTGAGGAGAGGACACAGGCCCACTTCAGGGAGGAGCTCCCACACTTCAAAGCCCTCCCTAAAATAGTGTGGGAGGGGGATGTTGAACCTCTCCCCAGGTGGAGGGGAACAGGAGAGGGCTCATAGAATGGCCCGGGTTGGAAAGGACCTCAAGGATCACAAATCTCCAACCCCCCACCACATGCAGGGCCACTGACGTCCACATTTCATACCAGCTCAGGCTGCCCGGGGCCCCATCCAACCTGGCCTCGAACACCTCCAGGGATGGACAGGGCATCCACAGCCTCTCTGGGCAGCTGTTCCAGCACCTCACCACTCTCACAGCAAACAACTTCCCCCTGACACCCAACTGAAATCTGCCCTCCCTCAATTCCAACCATTTCCCCTTGTCCTGCTGTTTCCAAGAGCTGACTCCCCTCCTGTTTGTAGGCTCTCTTTAGGTATTGAAGGCTGCAGAGCGGTCACCCCGCAGCCTTCTATTCTGCAGGCTGAAGAAGCCCAGCTCCCTCAGCGGGGCTCCCAGTGCCCCACCTCGCAAAAGACCTCCACCTCAGCGAGGGGTCGGCCCCAGACCGCGTAGGCCCGGCCTTATCCCTCTCCCAGCCAGCCTCACCCGCCACCAGCACGGCGAAAAGCAGCGCCGGCAGCGGCCGGCACCAAGTCTGGAACGAGACCCAGCGACTCCCTACAACAGCCGTCACTCCCCGCCTGCTCCCGGCTCTCTCCATCGCCGCCATCTTCCAGCCCAGTTCCTCCAGCGCCACCGCGCATGCGCGGCGCCGGAAGCCGCTCTGTGTCAGCGGAAGGACCGGTACTCGATGGCCGGAAGCGGAAGTTGGGAGAGGGTACTTCCGGGGCGCCGACGTGGAGGGTCGGCGAGGCGGTGGCTGGGGGTGTAGCTGGGATGTTGACTAAATTCGAGACCAAATCGGCTCGGGTGAAAGGTAGCCGTAGGGCTGTGCGGTGCGGGGAGATCTGGTGGAGTTTGTCTCTCATCTCTGTGTGTGTGTCATCTCTGTCTGTGTCTCCGTAGGGCTCAGCTTCCACCCCAAGAGGCCGTGGATCCTCACCAGCCTACATAATGGCGTCATCCAGCTGTGGGACTATCGCATGTGCACCCTTATCGACAAGTTCGACGAGCACGATGGTCAGTGGTAGGGGGGGATGGAACTGCTGTGGCCTGTAGGGTGGCCCTGGCCCTCAGTCCTGAGGAGCTGTGTGACGTACCCTGCGTTTCATTGCAGCCTCTTTGCTGGTCTCTGAATGCTTCTTTCGTGTGTGTGAAGTGAGGCTGTCGTTTTGTTTCAAGTGTAAAAGCAAACTTGTCAATGAGTGAGCAAGAAGTCAGGGTGCTTTGCAGTGTGTTTCTGCAGTTGTGCCGGTAGACTTGAATGGGTTTAAGAGTGAGATGTCAGATTTCAATTTGGGTTTTTGTTGCTTTGAATTTTTTTTTATCAAAAGAAGCAATGGAGAGTGTGAATTGCATGCTTTGAGTGATACGAGGGTCAGCTCCAGCTGTTGTTTGCCGTATCCAACCTGTTCTTCCTTTTTGTAGGACCTGTGCGAGGTATTGATTTTCACAAGCAGCAGCCTCTGTTTGTTTCTGGAGGTGATGACTATAAAATAAAGGTAATGTTTATTGCTTTAGCAATTCTTATTTCAAAGAACACCGCCCAAGGGAGGGAATTGCTCTGGAGTTATGCTCCATCTGTTTCAGAAGGATTAGTGATAATCACAGCAAATTGAAGTTTATTTGAGACTTGCATTAGAAATGTTTTAAAATGGAAGAAGGTTGCTTGTAGGTAAACTAGAATACCAAGATTTCAGCCTGTTGTGAGAAAGTACAAAAAAAAAAAAGTCTAGTAAGTCACAGATATAGCCTGATTGTTCTGCTTTTGTGTTGCACAGGTCTGGAATTACAAACTGCGCCGCTGTCTTTTCACTCTGCTTGGGCATTTGGATTACATCCGCACCACCTTCTTCCATCACGTAAGCAGCTTTACTACTGAAGTACATACCTCAATTTGTGGCCTTCCTTTATGGAAGGGAATTTGTCTTTTGATGCCCCAGATGGGAATATTGAAGTTGTGCTGGAGCTAATAGTATGAGTGTGCAGATATGGTGGTGATGTCTAGAGTTGTAAGAGGCATAAACTCTCTCTCCTAGATCTTAAGTAAAATAAAATTAAAAAAAGGTTGGCAATTGAAAAATATTCTATGGGAGGGTTTGTATGGGATGTGCATTTATGTCACATGTGAAATACTTTGACTTTTTAGGAATATCCGTGGATCTTGAGTGCTTCTGATGATCAGACCATTCGGGTTTGGAACTGGCAGTCCAGAACTTGTGTCTGGTAAAAATCCATAGAGGCTTTAAAAAGTAACTGTGGAGTTTGGGGGCGAGCTATTTTAATTTGTTCTCAAGCAGAAAGAGTTATTGATTTTTTTCAAACTGTGTACAGTTAAAGGAATAGAACTGACATGAAGAGCAGATCAGTTACGAATGCTCTGTCTGAAGAATGGCATTTCTGTTCTAGGTGTTGCCAGTCACATTTTTCATTGTCCCTTTTAGAACCTAGGTGGTTGTTGTTGTTAGTAATTAAAATGCATGTTGATATATCCTATGTTTAAATGATATTTTCTGTCCTTTTTGTTGTAGTGTGCTGACAGGACACAACCACTATGTGATGTGTGCCCAGTTTCACCCCTCTGAGGACCTGGTAGTGTCAGCCAGCTTGGATCAGACTGTACGCGTTTGGGATATTTCTGGTGAGCTGCCCAGGTCAAAGGGGTGTCCTGTGGCAAAGCCCACTTCAGAACTGCAATTGCTGAAAGCCATACAAGGCAGATTCAGATCTGAGAGCAGAAAAGTAGCCTGTTGGCTGAAAGAACCTCAGGCAGAAAACTAGAGAAATTCTGTACTGATGGGGATCTGTTTCCCTCAATTTCCATGAAGTTGTAGGATGCTGTAGGGGAACTGTAAGGTCAGGGCTTGAACTGGTGATTGAGCACCTGTAATGGGACTTGACTAGCCCAGGGAGTACAAATTATGTGCATCTGACCAGAAGGGGTGGACCCTTACAGGGCTAGCCACTGAAGGGAGAGCATCTCTTGGACCTAAGCTGCTTCTGAGGAGGAGTGTTATATGACCAGAGAGCTCCTTCACCTGTTGGGTGAATTCTCCTCTTTTTCTGTATGTGACTATTGGCCTACCTGTGAGTATTTTGCCTCATGTCACCAAGAACCTGTCAGAATTCTGTTTCTTCTTGAACAGAACAGGTGCTGACTCGAAATAACTGTTGGGGGCTCACCTAGTTCAACTTTTAGTTGGAGCCAAGGCTTTTGCAACAGTAGATGAGGCTAGCTGTAGCTTTGTACAACCAAAAAAACTCTAAGAATCTGATTTTACAGCCAACATAGGTAACAAATATTGGTATCAGCATAGAGGTATTATTATCAGTTGATTAACTTCGTTGTTCCAGGTTTGTAGGAGAAATTTTAGAAATTTCTGGGTTGCCTTAGCCCTTTGAAAAACTAAGTCATTTGTTCTGAAATAAAAACAAAAGTCCTCTCTGCTGCACAATGAACAAAGGCTTTTTTGGTAGCTTAGTTGTGGGTGGTGACAGGAAGCTGTATCTTCAGCATCCAGTTTGCTTCTCTTCTATAAAATGAAGTGTTGCTTGGAGATCAGAGAAGAGTCACAAGTCAAAACTCCGGAGTACTTTGATAATCCTAGCTGTTCTTCAGGTTATACCTGGACCACAAGATCTCACTTAAAAATATGATCCATGGCTGAAAAGCCAGATGTACAGAAAATATTAGGTGGAAATAGGACTGGTGGAAGGCAGGCAGGGACAGTGTGGTGGTGTGCCAGTGGAAATTATTCTAGGGACAGACTGTAGCCCTTTATCTAACCTGCCGCTCTCGCCATTGCAGTTTTGGTTGGGCATGCTGCAGTATTTGTGGTACACACTCAGACATGGCCAGCTGTGTCAACAGTAGGGACTGGGGACAGGATATCCTGGTTATTTAAAACCTGTCACCCTCTCTGTACTGCCAGCATGGAGAATTTAACAGCTATCCTGCTAGTAAGCTTTGTTGCTGCATTCTCCCACACACTCTCTCAGTAGAGTTCCAGCTGCCAAATTGGTTTGGAGATGGTACAGAGCCTTTTTTTTTCCCCCCTCAGCTGATATATGATGAGAGGTTTTAGAGACAGGCTGAATTATTGACTCAGCTGTTGCTCCAGTCAGACACAACACTGCAAGAATATTAGTGTGTGTGTGGGGGGGGGAAATGTGGATAGATGAGAAGCAGATTAAAAATCCAACTTGCTTTTTCCCTCAAAAAAAAAAGTTTCTCTTTCTCCAGAATGACTTCTCCTTGGCAGGGTTCTGTTCTGTAGCATTCCAGTGGAAATGGTTATTTCTGTTTTTTTTTTTTTTTTTTTTTTTTTAATGCATAAAATCCTAGTCATAAAGAATTCCACTTCAGAATGCTGCTGGAGCCTGCTGCATCTGCTGATTATCAGTGGATTTAGTGCTCCTTGGTTTGAACCCTGCCGATAAAGGATCTTCAGTGTAAAACAAATATGCTGGAGGTTGAAGTCTATTTCCTGCTTATCTCCTGAGAGAGACTGTGTGAATGCAGCAAGAATAAGCTTGCATATAAAAATGCATGAATATTTGTGTTGTATTATTTACCAGTGCTGTGGAATGAAGTTCTTGCTCTTGTGGCTGATACTAACCAACAGAAACTACAAAACAACCTTCTGTTTTTCTGTCTCTTCTTAAGTATTAACCAGCAAGGAGGTTGTTAGTGGTCGTATCCTCATCAGAGGTTTTTGTGTGTGCTGCAACACTGTGCACCAATTCCTGTTGAACCATCGTCTTGGTTGGCAAATACTGAAGTGTGTTGCTTGGCAGGAAAATTCCACTGAATGCAGGAGTGGCCAGAATGCACCTAAGCCCAACAATGAAAGAGTCAGCAGCCAACAGCCTTCTTTAGTTCCCATCTTAGTAGGTTTCTGACCTTTAAGTATAAGGCCTGAATTGTGAGGAAGAGAACAGAGCGTAAGAATCTTTCAAAGGACCATCTTTGGGTCAGAGTTGTCTAACACGTCGTGTGCTCCAGAAAATGAATCACAGGGATGTTCTGATGTCTTGCTGTTTTCTTTTTTATTCTCACTTAACTTCTGACTTACAATTCTCAGTATGTTGCCCTTTTTCTCTAGTGATTTTAGTAACTGTTCTTCTGAGTGCTTGTGTGCATGTTCAGCTGAGTTTCCCCTTGAGCTATTTTTCTGAACAGCTGTCCTCAGAATGCATAAGATCTGCCTTTCTGCTGCAAGTCCCTTCTCTGTCCCTGCTCCCTTCTCAGAGCAACACAGAGCAGTGTTCTGTGAGTGTCCTGCCTTTCCTTGATTTGTGCAGTCACACCAGAAATTTTCCACTCATGTTCCAGTCCCGTTTCACTGGCTTGTGAAAGGCTCAAGTATTTTCTCTTGTGAAAGTCCTTTATTTCTTCACTTGCTTCCCCCAAATTATATATGTTTTACTCCTCCTTTCTGGGGCAGTTTGTGTTGGCTTTATAGAAGCTTCCACTCAGCTGTTCAAGTTCATCATTGTTATTTGGATCACCTGTGTGTGTTCCTCACCCACTGTGCTGAGCATTTGTTCTTTGCTGTGAGACACTGCTTTACGTGGTGACTTCATCAGACTAACAGTGCTGAAGAGTCTGAGCTTTTGAGCTGCTGATCCACAAGGAGTATAGGAATCA